AATCGCAGCGGTTGTGCCTAGAGGAAGGTGGGGGAGGTTGCTGGGTTTGAATGTCACCTGGTTAATGAACGTGCTGTGATACCTTTCCCCCCCCTCTATCTGCAACACAAGGCAGGGGATGGAGGGGGTTTTGATCAGCTCTGCTGGCTGAAGAAGCTGATTCCTCTGGCAAAGCTGCTGTGGTTGGTATAAGGCAGAGCCGGTGTGCCGGCATGAGGTTAGCAGACAGGGCTTGTAGCATTCCCCAGGCTCCTAGGGGAGCACGGTGCTGAGCTGCTGGCAACTCTCATCTCAGATAAGGAAGAAGGCAGCGAAAACCCAGGGTGCATCCCTGTCCTGGAAGGGCTGAGGGCAAGTGACTGGCTTTGTGTGGTGCAAGTGATGCAGAAGAACAGTCCCCTCCTGGCAGAGAGACGTAACCTCCTACCTAAGTGTAAGTAATGCAAATGCTGGTTTCATATGCACCATTACTGCTACAGACATCCCCTGACACCTTTAGTAGTGAAAAGGATGGTTATCTGGACAGATCAGCAAGGCAAGGAACCCTAAAGCTCTTTGGGGATAGGGGAAGAGCTGGGTGTGATTTGGGGTGCGCAACAACCAGATGAATCACAGGAATGCAGTGATACTTGGCACTGAAGGGGGAAGGAAAGGGATCCACAGGCTTTATGCCTGCTGTTGGCTGATGTGCAGAAGGCAGCTGGAGAGCCCCTGAGAGCCATCGTGCAGATGTAGTCCCTGCAAGAAAGGGACAGAGGGTGGCCACCTCTTTGACTTACACAGCTAAATCCACAGGAGCTCCTCTCTTCAAGCCTAGAACTGGTTTGTATCTGATTTTAGCCAAGCCAGAACAGCACCGGTATCTAGATAAGGCTCTGTGTTCCTTCTCTTTGCATCTCCTGCCAAACAGCCTGGAGACCTTTGGAGGCAGCAGCACCTCCTAGTACTCTGGTGAGGTGAAAAGGACCCAGATTCCAGGTCTTAATGTTACATAGCCTTTGGGCAGAAGGAATAAGAGAAAACCAACTGAAACATGACAGTGTCTGTGCTGTTACAGCATCCAGCCCATGGAGCAAGGCAAAATGTGTTTTTACTTGGGCCGAAGCAAGCTGAAGGACCGAAAGCCCTCATCTCACAACCCTGATGTGAAATCCAGGTTGCTTCCTTGCACACATCTGTAGCACTGTTCCTTCTGGTGCTTTCGGGAGAAAACAAGGCAGGAACAAACCAGATGGTCTCCAGCACAGCACGGTGCAAAGGCTTCAAGCGCTTCTCAGGTGAGGAAGGCAGGATGTGGTGCACACCATGGCTTGAAAGTCTATGGGGGATGCTGTGGATGAGAGTCACCTTGTCCTGCTTGAATAGCTTGGCAGCTTGGACAGGGACTTATCAGATTCCCAAGTTTCCCAAGGCCATGAATCACTCAGCTTGAGGAAGGAAAAGCATCTGGCTAGTGTCAGGGGCTGATGGAGCAGTAAGGAATCACCGTACTGTGCTTTGAACCATGCTCTGCTGGATCTGGGACCGCTTGGATTCACTGACTGTCTGCTCTCGGACTGTGCTCCCAAGAAACCCCCAAGCCACTGCTGCTGGGCAAGGAAATGGGATCAAAGGGAGTCCTTCAGGATGTGGTGATGCGAGTGATGAGAAGCCATGGACCGCCCTGGCCTGGCCTGGCTCCTTCCCCTTTGCATCTTGCCCATGGTGGGTTTGAAGACGCCCAGCTGGGCACCTTCAGAGACAGGAGTGAGCTACAGAGCGAGGCATCAGACCAAGACCTCCCTGCAACACAGGATCAGGAATGTGCATCAGCCTAACAGTGAAGAGCAGCATTCCCCTCTCTCCCAGGGCTCCCAAAGAACGGATACACTGGGTGGATGTCTGTGTTCACTCCTGGCATTAATGAAGACAGGAGAGCATGACCAAGAGCCTGAGTGGAAGATCTCGCATCACCTGGAGCCATTTGGGTGTCTCTGCACAATGCATGCTCCTGCTAACTTGGAAGCTCTCCCTGGTGAGATTAATGGCTGCTCTCATTTGTTCTGCTCTGTCTAGAGAGAAAATGATGTTTGTAACTGGAATTGGGGCTTTTTGGTTATTTCGTCCTGTCCTCTTGCGGCCTAGGAAGCGGAATAGCTGCTTGGTACCCTTGGAAAACTGCTGGATTCGTTAATGATGATATGTTACTTGGAAAATGCTGCTCTGGAGCCTTTACATGTGACCTTGGCTGTGGTTAAAATACAAACGTCTCAAGTAAAACCAGGATTCCTTGAGGAGCTCCACAATACCTGCGGTGGGATGCCAAAGGGTTAATGTTTGAGCATTCCATGCACCAGCCTCCCCGGGAAACAGGTTTCTAACCTGATCTAGGAACATTCAAATTGGCACGCGTTTTATATTGAGTGGGATTAGCTGGGAGCATCCAAAGCCCACACCATTTCTCAGAGGGATTCTGGTGGGGAGAGCTGGAGGCAAACCAGGTCTTGCGAAGGGATTTCGGAGCAAGCGGAAGCAAACCTGACTGGGAATTGTTTTGATAAAACATGTGTTGGAGTTTCTTGGTCAGATGAAACTTTTCATTAGCTATACGGGGTGCCTGCCAAAGCTGAAGCTGGGAATGGTTTCATCCATCAATAGGAGAGAAGGAAAGTGGATTCAGGAGAAGCACTGGCTTTGTGCAAGTGCATCCAGGCTGAGTGTTGGCTTCAGCTCTCTGCAGTGGAATCATAGAATCCCAGACTGGTTTGGGTTGGAAAGGACCTTAAGATCATCCAGTTCCAACCCCTCTACCATGGGCAGGGACAAATCACAAGGCATGAATGCCATTGACATCATGGGCGTTGGACCTCTTTGCCCATCCACCCTTGCAAGACCCCTGATGTGGTGCTGGGACCCACCATGTACTGCTTGATGGTGTGTTCTTAGCAGTGTGGTGCCAGACCCTCTTGCCCTGTGTCTCTTGGATGAGCTGTCAGTGGGCAATGTTCTTCCCAATCCCCACCTTGAAGCCAACCCTTCAGCCCAAGCCAGGGCACGGTCCTTCCCCTTCCCCTTTCCCTTTCCAGTGCTAACACAAACACTTTAGAGGCAGCCTCTTCCGTGTGGTGGGAAACAGGGAATTCTTGGACACGTCCCTTTTTGGCAGCAGGGCTGTGCTTCTGCTGCTCTGGGCACAGCGACGCCAGCCGGCAGAGGCTGTGCTGATGGTGAGCTCCTTCCAGCTGCTCCACCAGCATAAATCTGAGCTGTGAGCTTACCCAATTCATTAGACACTGCCTGTTGAAAAGGCAGTAAATCACCTCAAACCTCAGTCAGGACTGGCTTTGGCATGGTTTATGGTGGAATTAGAATAACGAATGAGGAGCCGGCTGTTTATGTTAGTTTTGGCTTGCAAGCTGAAGAAAAATCCTGGTGTTGAACTTCATGATAAACTCTCCCCACCACCAGTGGGCTCTGAGGTTGGGAATAACTTTGGAAAGCCTCGAGGGCCCACGAGGGTGAGAGACTGGCACATCACAAGCTGAGTGAACACTAAGGCTTAGATAAGAGGCATGTTTTGGTACAAAACAGGATAGGACTTCGTTGCTGGAATGGCTCTCCAAAGCTTGGACACCTGCAGTCTTCTGCTCCTTGGGGTTGGTCTCCACATCGTGTACTCAAGGAGCAAAGTGAGTCAGCCAAATCTGCAAGTATCCAGTTATTTCCATGCTCTAACTTGCTTATACCTCCTTTGGATGCTTTGGGATTCCTCCACACCTTGGGGTGGGTCGCCCACCATCTGTCCTTGGCAGGTTTCTTTCCAGTTTTGCTCTAATATCCTTAGTTGAGCTCATCTATACAATATGGGCTGCATGCCCTGAATCTGCCAGAGCTGCAGAAACTGGAGTGAACTTTGTGGTTTTCCCTAAGCCTTAATGTGGACCTGGATGGCTCGTGGTGGAGTTGGTCCAGTTTTCCTCTGACTGAGGGAAGATACTCTGGAAAACCTGATGAGGTGGACACAGTCCAGCTTGATGGCTGGGTGGGGAGCACGTCTGTGTTAGTGTTAATAATCCAGTAATGCAGTTACAGTGCGTTATCCATAATCCAGGCATGCTGCAGCAAATTCCCATTTTCTTGAGCACTGTGTCCAGGCAGCCCCTTTGAGGGTACTGCGAGGAGCAAGCACTTTGATGTGCTGAGTTCCTTCCATGCCACCACTCAGCAGGGCTCTCCAAACAGCTGGCATCACCTGCCTTTGCTGAACCCAGGTTTTCATCTCCTGGTGGTCCCTTGTCCCTCCTTCTGGTGACTCTTGCTGCTTGGCTTTGAGTGGTACACTCCTTCCACCAAGGTTTAGGACCCTTCTGTTGCAATCCTTCTACTCCAGCCAGCAAACACTAGGCAGACAGACTCACATCTCTCTGCTTCCACAGTTTTACCAGCAGTCCAAACTTGGCAGTGCTCATGGTCTCATTTTTGGTTCAACAGTTGATGGACTTCTTCCCAAGGGCTGTGATGCGCATCACCTTTCCAGTAGAAGAATGAAGCCCACCTTGCCTTGTCCCCATTCATTGTGTTGGTTTGCCTGGAGTTTTGAACTTTGCTGTCTCGGGTTGAAAAGAAAGTGCGTGGTTTTGTCATGGGGAAGTTAGAGTGGAACAAAAGGCAGGCTATGGAATCACGTTTGTAGATGGAGCACCCACGTTGCTTGGACAGGCAGGCTGAAAGCTTTGTGGAGGGCTGCTTAGAGCAGGGATTCTGAAGAATCCCCTGTGTGAATTCAAGCTATGGAATTTGTGAAGGGAGGAAATCTGTGTACAGGTTTCCATTGTGCTGCATCTTCTATAAGTAACCCTGTGCAAAGAGTCCAGGCCTGGACTTTCACAGCGGCAACCACAAGATCTAAAGGTGTGGTAGTTCTCTCCTGTCCAAAATGATCTTTGTATGCCCATTTTGGGCTCAGAAGCATAAGATATGTACCATCTCAGTTCACCTCTCATCCATCCTTTGCTGTTCGCAGGCAAGAAAGTGCCACAAGAGCTTAATCTGAACTCAGCTGGGGACCATTGACTTCAGAAGGCTGTGGATGAGGTCTGTTCCTGTAGGTCCACAGGCAGTTGGCACTTATGACTTTTTGTCTTCTATGCAGTTTTGAGCTCAAGCTGCACACGCTTGCCTGGCAGGGGAAGAAGGGCTTGGAGAGAAGAACACAACGGGGCTTCCTTCATGTCCCTTGTGCCACCCCATGTACAGGGCTCTCCCAACAGCCTTGCAAGCCATTACCCACCGCTGGATCCCCTTTTCCCTCCTTCCCTATCACCCAACCACACTCAGTTCAAGTTTATCCTGGGCTTATTTTGTGGCTGGACCAACCCCTTTGGAGCGCCAGGACCACAGCTGCCTCCTGGCGACACGGTTCACTCAAGGGCAGCCGCTCTCCTTTATCTCTTTGAAGATTAGGGGGCTTTAACATGTCTTTAAAGTGAATTTCTCCCCCCCCCCCCCCCCCCTTTATTACGATAATTGATGACCAGCAAACTTTTCTTTTCCTTTATCTCTTAAATATGTTTCTTTACCCTTAAAAATGCAATATTTCTTTTAACTAGGAATATGGATGGGTCTGCGCGTAGCAGGGCTGCCTTTGACTCATCTGTCAATTTGATCGTGTAAAGCCTCTGTTTTCAGCTGGCATCCAGTGCAGATTTCAAAGCTGTGACTCACCCGTTCCTGCAGAGTTGAGACTAAAAGGGAAGGTAAAATAATAATTAAAATATATTGAAAATAAACCGAGCCTTTTCCAAGCACTTAATTACGAAGTTTGTGTTTTGTGAGGTCTTTCTATCGGGGAGTTTTACATCTGTGTGCACAGGAAGGAGTCAAAGTGCTCCAGGCTTTCAGTAGTAAGGAGTACAAAATGAATGGTTGCTCCTTGGTTGGGAGGAATAAAGGGATTGTAAATGAACTTGTGAAGCCAAAATGCAAACTTTTCGTATATAAGCATAAGGCAGGAAAGGGGGAAGGCGCTGGAATCATTTTCTATCTAGTCAAAACACTGCACTTACGTGTGATGTATATATGATTATGCAGCAAATGCTTGAACCCGAAATGGCTTTTCCTCTCCATGCACGTGCATATAAATAGCTAAAACAAATCCATTTTCAAAAGAAAATGTCTATTGAGCAGAAAACCAGAAATTCCCTTTCCTCTGAAAACGTGAATATGCTTTTTCTTTTAAGCAAGATTTCCCCCCAATTTATATGATTTTACCCAAAAGCTCTTTTCTCCCAAATGCTATTTTTATCAGTGTGAGTGAAGCTCAACATTCCACCCAAGTGGGAACCAGTCTGTATCCCCAGGTCAGGGTGGAGCAGGGCTATGGAGCACCATGTCCCCTGGGGGGTAATGGGGTTCCTGCTGCTGGTGGCTTCTGTTACAGAGCCCCAGGCTTTAATCAAGACAACTCTACAAATAGTGTCAAAAGAATATGCATGCAGCAGCTCAGTGTTTCCTCTGTTGTCAGATATTTTTATGACACCTTATCGTGTGCATCTTAAATCCACATGTAAAGAAAGCAGGCATTAAACATGAGCATTTGTAACCGGCTGATGAGCACCGGTGCTGGGTGCTCTCTGGGTCAGCTGCAGGATGCTACCAGTGGACCCCAAGGGTCGTCCCAGCTCATTGCCATGCTGCATGTGATGGTGCCAGCTTCCAGCCTCACTCATTTTAACACATCACACTCTAGCATGGGGCAAGCCCAACTCTCTCTGCAGGCTTTGCCCTGTTGGCTTTAGAGGTGGGGTGATGTTGCTGGTGCATGCTGTGTGTCCCATGGGTGTCTGATCACCCAGTATGTGCAGAGGCTCCTGTTGGAATTGGCGAGTGCTGGGAGCACATGGCAGAGTGATCTTGTAGTTAGATACCATCGTAGAACACCACTGGGGTCCCCAGAAATGCTGTGTGTGGCAGCGGGGCCATGCTGGAGCTGTGTTGTTGGAAGGTGGGTGCTAATCTCAGCACTTACTTGGCGATCCCAAGAAGTTGGGTTTGGGATAATGCCTGTTACATCCTCTGGAGCACAGCACAGTTCTCAAACTAAATCTGTAAGCAGCTGCTGATGGAAAGCACATCACCATGTCAAGCCCTGAAGAGGAAACTGGGATTTGATGGTTGTTTCAGCCTTTGTAGTCAAGAGTAACGCAGCAGCATAGGAGGGATGCGAAGTGCATGGAGTTAGGTGAATGAAGCACAGAGCCCATGTGTGTCCAGTCTCATCTACTGAGTTTACTTTGCCTTGCACCAGACAGCGTGATCATTCCTTTCCTCAAACACTAATCTTCTCCAAAGCATTTTGCATACTGGCACTTCCAGCATCTCTTCCAGACCTCTATAAGAAGTGCTACCTGCCCAGCTGTGCTGGGTCTGCAGCCCACCATTACCATGTGAAATGGGCCACATTCATCTTCCCTTTGCTGTTTCATTGCCAAAGGCTGTTTGGTCAAAACTTATTTAGCACCAAATTCCACTTAAAAGTGGCTTCAATGTTTTCTTAGCCTCTGAAGACCAAGAAAAGCGTGCCAGGGGCTCTTACACCATCTGGACAAGGCCTTACAGGTGAGCTTAGAGCAGCTGAGAGCTTAAAATTAGCATGTCTCAAAACATCATCTTTCATCATGTGGTTGTGTTGGGCAACCCAAAACAAAGCAGAAAGTATGAGGCAAGGAAGTGAATGGTGGAAGGAGATGGTGGGGTGGATGGGGAAGGAGGGAACCACTGGCGCTGGGTGGCCATGGACCATCTTCGTCTCCAGAAAGATAAGATTCATCCGAGGAAACCCCAGACTGAGGGTTGTTCCCATGGTGTGAGGGTCTGAGAACAGGAGCTCTGTGGTGACTCCAAGCTCTCCAGCTGCTACCGACATGCGATAGCGAACTGGCTGCGCTGACGTGGTCCTCCATGGCTTGGTCCTCCCGCGGACACCCATCTGCTGCTGCCAGAGGTGATGGAGATGGAAGGAGACAGCTTTAAAAGCAGAGTATGAGGCAGGCAGAGCTGGGGATAAGCTCCAGCGGGTCCCCCTTGACCACGCAGACACCCACCGCTATCAGGGGTGCTTTTGAGGGGCACCACCAGCGGTAGCAACAGGCTCAGGCTGGATCTGAGCCTGTGAACTGAGAGATGAAAAGCTGCATTACAGGTCCAGGGAGCCCACCCAGGGCCCTACAGCCGGCCAAGCGCCAGGCGTGAGGATGGATATGCGGGCCATTGAAAGACCTCATCCAGAGTATATTTGGTTTGTCTTGTGTGACACAGAGAACCTGAGTTATTATTTGATCCTGCTCTGAGTAATAACCAGATAAATGGGCCTGCGGATTTCCAAATAAACATTTTAATAAATGATGGGTGAATTAAAGGAGAGCTGCTCCCCCCTTCCCCTGCTCCCAGTATTAATGTTCAAATGAAGGCAGGCAGTGTCTAACAGAGCCCCGTATACTGTAAATACATTTCTTGCACTGTCACATATAAACACTGGAGAGACGGAGATCAAAAGGTCTCGCTGTGCAGAGCAGAGCCGCGTGATGAAGTGAGCATGTTGCTTTGTGGCTGCGGTGGGGGTGATGGGACGCCTGAGAATAACAGACTGGCTGGAGACGTAGGAGCCCAGAAGGCCTGGGGGGCCTCAAAGGGGGGAAAGGAGAGAAAAAAAATCCCCGCTAGCAGCAGGAAAAATAAATAATTCCGTTATCTCTGATGAATTTCTGCCTTTGATCTGGTTTTTCCTCTCCCTCGCGCTGCCTTTTCGGTCCCTCTTCTCCCCCCTCTCGCAGCTCCCCCCTCAAACCATCCCCATCGGACACTTCTCTCCCCCCCCCCCCTTGCCTCCCTTCCCCTCTTGCGGTTTGATTTATCCCACGGCCGGCTCGGGAAGCCTGACGGGTGCTGATGAATGGGCAGAGCTCGTCTGCCCATAGCCCTGCCCCGGCGTCTGCCAGGACATCCCCAGCTTCTTTTCATTCCTGGAAACCCGGCGTCCCGCCGGGCAGCCTGGTGCAATAGATCTGCTTCACGGGTTGTGCTTTCCTCAGCTGCCTCAGGGAAGATGCTTTTTGGCCTCTCCGGCTCATAGACACAAAGCCCAACCTTCCCCATCCCGGGGTTATTTAGCTTAACCTTGACAGCCGCTAAATAATTGGGTGTTTCTTCCCCAGCCGGTACCTCCTTTCCGAGCCAGGGGAGGCCACATGGGTGCCTCTGATATTTCCCTGCAGCGTTGCCATCAGAACATGAAAAAGGTGGGGGTTTGGAAAGAGAGCAGAGCAGAGTGGAAGTGGTCCGAGATGGGACGAGGGATCAGCCTGCTGGGGGGGATGAATAGGATGCTGTGATGGGAGGTGGTGGGGTTCCTCCTCTTTGGGGCTTGCAGAGCCGCTGGGCTGACCCTTGGCAAGGAGAAGAGAGGGGAGGAACACCAAAAGGTTTCTTCCCTGCAGCTTATGCTCAGGTCAGCTCTGAAACGTGGGTCCTAAAAAGGGCCGCAAGTCATGGCAAAGGGCAGCCCTTTGGGGCACTTCTGTTTCAATGCCTGAATAATGTCTTTAGAAAACCTCTTCTTTTTTGCCTCTGCATGCTTAGTAACACTGTGAAAATCCATTCAAACCACACCACAGACCTTTTGTAGACCACTATGAAGTCTACAAAGTGTTGTAGCTCAAGCTGGAAGAAGACACAAGCAAGATGCTGTGTAACACCCTTCCCAGAAACAACCCTTCCAGCTCCACTGCTCCATTCCTGCTTCTCTATGATGTTTAATATTATTGATTTCCATAAAAATCACTGTGAAATTTGTGGCTTTCCTGTTGGATTCATGCCCACAGATCCAACTCAGCTCCTTGGTCAGCTATTTCCCCCGTGTTTCATTGTGCCTGTTCTGGTTGGGCATTCCTGATTTTCCATCTTCTGGAGATGCCTCAGTAATGGCAACTTTTGCCCTTGGGCTTCTTGTCCCTGACTGAACTCATCCTTCTCCCAGAGGTTAGCTTAAAAATTCATGCTCTACCCTTGGTGATATGTGTTTGAAGCTGTTTGTACAGTGATACAAAGGTCTGGTTTCTCCCATAGCTGTTTCTGGATTGAGTTCCTTCTCCAAAGTCCCCTATTGTCATTTCCTATGTTTATTCCAGATGAAAATAAGCTTTTGCATGGAAGAATTTGAAGAGGTTTTGGACGGTCAATACGTTCATGGAGCCTGTTGGCAACGAAATACCTCCAGACCTCTCATCCTCACCAAAAGGTATGTAACCCTTGAAAATTCATATACAAATGATGTCTTAAAGCCCTGAAATCACGCTCACCCACCACACTGAGCATGACAGAGCCCTTCATGGAAGGCATTCCTGCCCTGAAGACACAGGAAGGATGAAAACCTGCCTCTGATAGTTATACATTGGACAATCAGCAGCTTATACACATGCAAGAAGTGGGTTTTTTTGGGAGGGTTGAAAGGTGAACGGTAGCAATCCCAGTGCAGTGAGCACCACATCCAGCCCCTGGGCTGGGTTTCAGGACAGGGCTCCCAGGGAGCATCCAGCTGCTGTTTGAAGACATCCAGAGATGGTGAATCCATCACTTCCCATGGTGGGCTGTGCCAGCTGTTAATCACCCTCACTTAAATATGCGTGCCTCGCTTCCCGCTGGAATTTGCAAGGCTTCAGCTTCTGAGCTGGTTTTTGCTTTGCCTTGCTGAGGCTCAGAGCCTTCCATGGCCAGCGCATGGCTCAGCACCCTGGTGAAGGACTCAGTTTCTCTGCGGTGCTGCATTAATTCCCTTTATTTCTATAGCTCAATACCGAGCTCTGTCCTCCCATCATGATCTCTTTATATTAATAAGGAATAAATGACTTTTTTTTTCCATTATAAATAAATAAACCCTCATCCACAGGTAGAATTTTTTACATAGAAACCAGCGTTCTGACTGAAGATGGATTTTTTTTCCCCCATTATATTTCCCTAAAATTAGCACTTGCAGGAAAAAAAACAGTCAAAAGGCTGTACAATAAGTAAGGTGCCTTGTGTGTTCCTACAGCATCTTTTTGGTTCTTTGTATTTCATTCGCTTATGCTATTTAAATGTGATATGCTATTTAAGTGTGATATGCTATTTAAGTATAAAATGCCATACTATGGATGCTAAATACTATAATATATATAAATATATATATAAATATGATACCATATAAGAAAATACATTATAAGTCATTTTATTTCCAGCCCTGCACTGCAGATCAGTGGCTCCACACAGCAAAGCCACAACTAAGACGACCTCTGCTCTGATTTGAACAGAGAATGGGATGAGCTCTGGCCAGCACAGCTGGTAAAGGAGTGAAGGAAATCAGGTTAATCAGCTGAACAAGCTGCTGCTAGTTACAGGAAGGGCAGGACTTCCCCTCCTTGGGGTGGTAAATCTTATAGAAGCCCTAGTATTGGAGTAGCTGCCGTGATGCTGGTGGTGTTTGGGTAGCACCAAGGTGTGTTTTCAGCAAGGTATGTGGGGTTTCTGAGCTGGGGAGAAGGGGATGTACAGTGGGATGATGTTTTCTTGCCTGTTTGTGCTATTATAGGATTAGATATGTTCTGTCCTGGGTGCTGCTGGGGTTCATGGAGCAGTGTTTGGAGGGGATGTCCCGCTGTGAAGATGCAATGGCTGCAGGTGAATGGTCTGGTGGGAAGCCCTCAGTGACCAAGGGACCGGATTAAGTCATTCCCTGTCTTCTAGAGGTGATTGTATTGGGTATTTTCACCAGAGGGAGTCTCTTCCATGGTCTTGAAAGGGAAGAGCTCCAGTTCCTGCTGGAGCAGTTTTGGAGCTAACAGAGTAAATCAGGTGGATAATGTCTATAAATATGAAGAGCCTCCAGCCTGGGTTTTGACTGGTTGTGTTGAGTTCTGGATTTGTTTTCTTCATATTTTGTTTTTCTCCTAAAATGAGATGGATAGACAGCTTTTAGGTGGCTTTACTGTAGAAGTGAGAGGTGAGGCACCTTCTCTGTTGGAGAGGTGTTAAATAAGGAGAGGTGAGGCTCAAATGAACCTGGTGTGGGTCATGCTCTGGTCACTGGGTGCCTTGTGCCCTGGCTGGGAAGAGGAGGTGAGGGACACCGGAGTAAAGGCTTGTACCTCCCCTCCTGACCTCCAGAGGGGTATTGGTCTGGGGGAAGTCTTTCATATGCTTTAGATGGAGGAGAGCACTTAGAGTGAGGAGCAGGAGTGGAAGCTGCTATAAACGGTAGCTCTGTAAGTCCTTGATTGTAGATTTCTTGGGGAGTGACTCAAAACACATGAAGCTTTAACTGTGTAAAGGTTTTCTCTCTGCTCCAACTCTGTTTTGAATCCAAAGGCTTGTTTCCTCCAATCTTGCCTACTCGGCCTCCATCCTTTGCTGCCCAGCTCTGTGTGTGGGGTGCAGATGGAGGGCGAAAGCTCCTGGAGATGTTGGGGACCATCTGAGCAGGCTGGAGCTCACCTCCCAGCACAGGGTGACTTGCTTGTAGCAGCTCGAAGATGAGGAGGAGGCCATTGATCAAACACTGCTGGGGGACCAGGTCTGTGTGTGCTTTGAGTGACTGGCAGAAATAGCCCAGGCTGCCGCCCCTGCCGTCGCCTTATCTCTCCCCCAAACATCAGAGAACTCATCTTGCTGCGGAGGCTGGGACCTGACAGCCCTGTACATTAGCACTTTCTGCAAGTGATGTCCACTTTTGAAATAGTACCTGTCCCGAGAGTGGTCACTTCATTTGACAAATGCCAGTGATGACAGCGGGATGCTGCTTTACAAACTCCAGCCTTCTGCTCGCCCGCCCCAGGAGAGACAAAGGGAGGAGAGCTGAGTTCCCCTTTGCCTTGTGGTGTTTGTACTTGGTGCTCTCCCTGAGCCCACAGCCACGGGGCAAGGTCTCTTTGGACCTTGGATGTGGGTTGTTCCTCCCCAGGACCCTCCGGCAGCGCTGTGAATGGAGCATCACCAAACAGGCTGATAAGGGTTGTCCCAAAAGGACAGCGAGGTTTTGTCACCCACTGGCAGACCCCAGTGCAAGAAGTGAAGCCAGGCAGAGGAACCAGTCATCTCCTCACTGTGCAGGGAGGTTTGGGGCTGGAAACTTCTGGCTGAGCCTCCTGGACTCTTTGTGCCAGTGCTTGGCTCAAAATCTGTGCCTAGATGTGTGTTTTGCTCTGGAGAGATCTTGTGCTGGTGCCCAAAGGGATTTGTCTGATGTGATGGAGTTGCTCCAGGCTCTGTGCTGAAGAGCTGGGGCAGCCTGGGCAAGAGGAAGAGGCAGGGCTGAGGCTCCTGGTGACCACGCAGCTGGGCAGAGGTAGAAGAGAATTCACCTCCTCCTTTAAGCCCAAGCAGGGTTGCTCTGCAGTGTGCAAGTCACCCCTAAACTGCATTGAAACAACATTATTGAAGGGACAAATGAAGCTGGGAAACACCCTGATTCACTTTCTGCATTTGATTTAAGTAGGAGGCTAAATGCACCCGTTCCTTAGGAATGGGGTGATCAACATGTGGATGTGGGCAGCACAGCGAATCCACTCTGAATGCTTTGCTGCCCATGCCCAAAGTGGTTCAGCTTCACGTGTCTTGCATCAGTGTGTTTGGGTCACTGCTGCCAGCAGTGCCGTGGTTCACAAGCAGTGCCCATGTTACCATTAGAGACACTGGGGCAGCCAGAAATCCCTGAGCTTGGTCAAATTTTCAGGCAGAGGAAATGTGTTTGGAAAACCCTGGCATAGGTGGAATCTTCTGCTGAGGTATAGAGGAAAATGCTTGAAGTGCTCCTCAGGTATCTCCTTGGCCACTCTCATTGCTCTACAGGTTAGTGAATGTTGGGTTTCTTCTCTTGCTTGACTATGCTGCTCTCCATCCTTTGGTCCCACCTCTCTGTGTGCTTCTACACCTCTTCCCCTACAGAAAATCCCTTCTCCCTGCCCTTATGTCCTGGCTAGATCGGGTTTGTGGAGAGCTGGTACCTTGCAGAAGGATGCTTGTCTCTGCTCCTTGATGGCCTTGGGAAGTGCCCCAGGCTCATTCATGCCCCTGGTAAATAGGGATTCTCAGCAACTTGTTCCCAACTCATCAGCTTCCTGGCAGTTGTGGGGTGGGCAATGGAAACGGGATGAATTCCTTTTCTCCCTTGACTGGCTCTTAGATGTTTTCCCCAAACACCAACTGATGGCCATCCCGCTGAGCCATCTCTTGATGCCCACCTCTTGATGGGAGTGACTTTCCCATGCAGCTGCCATCTGTCCCCATGGATATCTCCCTCCACAACTCCACCGAGACCCAAGTTACGATGTGAAACCTGAGCACACGGGGACAACTGGCACGGCCTAAGCTGAGCCTCCAATTTCCTGGCTCATAAAAACCTGAGCTTCCTTCAGGCCCGGGTCTCTGCCAGGTTGCACTGAGTTGGGTCTCACACCTCCTTCCCAAGGCTCCCCCCTTACCCCCAAGATATTCCATGACACCAGCTACGAGCTAGATTGCTTTATGGCTCCATATGTTGGAGCCACATGGAATAATGCAGAGAAATCCCTTTAGCAAGGGAGTGAAAAGCCACCGAGTTTACGGGGTGTTGCAAATAATCTGAGGCAAAACAAATGTTTAAGCTTGACTTGGCTGCCAATTCTGAGCACATTGTTTTTAAGCTGGAAAAAAACCCCAGGCCAAGGGGCAGTTGTTAATGGGCCAGTCATTTTCTTCCTTTCTAGACACCCCAGAGCAACGAATATCAACTGTTCCTTGGGAAAGAACTCGAGTGTGGGGGGCTTTTTATTGTACATATCAAAAGGCATCATTGACTGGCCCTCGTAGAGTGCTGCTCCTTCCAGCAAGGGGCTTTTACAAGTAATAACCTGTTTGTGAAGCAGAGCAGCGAAGCCCCAGAGCTGAGCTTGCGGCTTATTGTTGGGGCTGACTTTTATAAGACACTGCAGGGGCTTACAACAGACTGAGTTTTGTAAAGCAGTCCATTAAACACCACAACCTGAGCTAAAGAGCAGTGGGGGACGGAGCCTCCAGGGATGGAGCCGAGCCCTCTGCTTCTGTAATAAACACAGCAGCATCCCACTTATGGCTCGGGCAGCAAAGAGCCTGGACACAGAGGCTAATGTATTGCTGCAGAGAAGGTCAAGTGTGAAAAGACGCAGGGCTTTTTCCATCGGGTTTGGTTGTTGCTGTAAGATCAGTTGGGCAAAATGCTGCTGGTTCACGTGGTTTTATTGCTGGTGGTGCTTTGA